AATGTCGTAATGATAATGCGCGACGAGGGCTCGGCGGCGCGAGTCGAATTATTTGGTACAAATTTTTAAAATTTTATTTGATACGTCTGTCGTTGGACGTCAAATGTCACGTGTGTGAATTCTTTTATCAACTCATGATCAACAAATATAGGAAAGCAACTTATTTTCTGTTAGACAGCGCCGCATCTTCGTAAAAGAAAAAAAAACTCGCATTCATAAACTATTATGGAAAGATAAGATCTATTAGTAGTTGTAATAAGTAAGCGTTCGATGCTACAAACATCTCCCTATCGCCAAGTCCATCCCACTTCGTTATCAAAGCATCGCTCCGCGATTTTTCCAAGATCTACTGTACCCGGAAGCTCTCAAGCCCCGAAGGATATCCAATGGTTGAGCCAACAACATTTCATCTCGAAAAAGGAAAATCGACAAAACTCGCCGCTAGGCTCTATTTACCGTCTATACGCGAGGCGTCTCAACGCCCATGCGAGCCCAGCTTCCCAGAATCAGCGATAGAGGTTATCGGAAAAGTGTGGGTCGTAACCCCTAAGCGTTTTCCGATGCATTTGCGTATCTCGTGCCATGGGTGCGGACAGCGGCTCAGGGCTCCGACGACTCGCATTTTCCGGCGCAAAAGCGAAATATAAGCCGAAAGCCGCCGCTTGCGATGCTTGCCAACGTCATTACGACTCCACTTGCTCTCGGTGGCTTCATGTCGCGCGTTTAAAAAGTGTCGCGCACTCTCGTGGCACATGTCGCGCGCAAAAGTATCTCGTTTGCTTAATGCTTGAGAATATTGTAAGGTGACAAAAAAATCAATGTTCTCAGTGCATTGGGAGATATTTGTATTAATGTTAATGACTTTTTCTATCCATTTATCCACAAATGTCAACGACTACCTTTTTGTTCCTGATTTCAAGTGAAATTTAAGCAATGCAAGATGAATGCATGTGCAGAGTTGCTTTTTTTAAACACTTTTGCCAAGGAGAAAATAATTAATTATTGAAATATTTATGAAATAAATGACACATATCTTGCGTAATGAGAAACTATTTTTGCATATATAATAAAAAAAGGACTTTTCGTATGCTCTTATATTTTCCTATCGTTTATTAACAAGATTGTCCATATATCACTTTTGATTATTTTATTTATCGAAATGTGTATTAGTGTATCGTATAAAGTAGTAGATCGTGGAAAATCTTATCGCGAACCATTATAAATATAACACTAACGTTTTATTTTATAAAAAATGTAATTACATTTTTATACAGGACTATAGCCTAACAATTCGTTTAGCGTCCGAATTAAAATAGCTTGAAGTACCATTAAGTCTTGAAGGATCGAAAGAATATTCAATCGGTCGACAATAATAAATGTTTGCTTATCAGACGAATATTAATGAAGTTATTTAAATAATAATATTTCATCGCAGGAGGATTGATAATATTATTTGAGTTGAATAATTATTTTTCATAGTGAATAATTGATTTAGTTTTCTCATTAACTTTGCTTTTCCTTAAACAGTAAATATTTTCTCAGCAATTATATCAAGTGCACTCTTTGTTTGCATCGAGACAAATTTCATTCGCTTTGTAGTGTTACGTTAACATTGCAACTATAGTGTTGTATTCTTCTATTCGATAACGAGTGTAAACATAATGTGAATTGCAGGATTCGAACATTTTTGTGCAAGTACTATTAAAACTTGTGCTTATTCTTTACAAGCTTCCCTAAAGCTTCGAAACTCCTTGATCCAAGCTTTTGAAACATTCTCATTCTTGCGATTTAAGAAAGCATAAAGCCTTTTAATATAAAATAATAATAATAATAATAATAATAATAATAATAATAATAATGTAATTAAAACGGGTAATAAAATTTAATTCAATAGTAAATTGATGTATACAATGTCTTTATTACGTTTAAATTGTTTGATCTTGATCACATCGATATGGCAGTCATAATTCCAAATACATAACAATATCCCTAATATAAATAATTATTTCAAAGAAAAATAAATATAAATGAATAAAATGGATAGGCTAATATAAATAAATATGCTAAAATTAAATATAAATTCTTCCCAAATCGTAAGCAATATTCTAAAAATACACAAATTTCTTGCTCAAAATTAATTTAATGATTAGTCATATCGTGTATTATTTACTCTGCGCAAACATTCATTATCCAACTTAGTCTAAAAATTATGAAATAAAGCTTGTAACTTTCATTATTGAAGGTAAATTATGATGAAACATTCACAATACGAATTATTTTTTTTTCTTTTTAATTCAACTTCTCCCGCTCTCTATTTGCGGAATAGTTTTTTTTCTCTGTTTTTCCTTATGATTTTCAAGTAAAATAGTATGAAAATAATCTTCGACTAAAGAGTATGGAAACTTCACCAACAATACAAATAATAATATGACATAACAATTACTAAGTGCTTTATCACTGTAGAAAAAGTATTTTCCTCATACGGGGCATCGTTTTTAGCTTATTTTTAGTTGGATCTTAACAAACAAGCAAGCTAATTCGAAATAACGTCGTGCATAACGCCAGTTGGCCCACAATTTTCATCAGACACACCTGCGCTCGTAAACTAAATTTTGTCGCAGAAAGCCTGCTTGCAGTCTGATAGGTACTTTGTCCGCTCTCCCTCCCACAAAATTTTCCTCGTCCAAGTCCAACTCACTGTCCGATTAATACTTGCAACTCCCGGCTGTACAACGCTACCGCAACTTCAACGTCGTCATTTGCTAATTGAAGCAATAATGTCGATGATGGAACTTTTTCGCCTTGGTTTTTTTGCAAACAGATCTTTATACCTTACCGTTATTGTTGTGTAATCAATTTCTTTGCTCCGTTTAACAAATTTTTTCATTTGCGCCGTTTTACAGAATTCTTAGAATTACACCTACGGACGGTAGTACCTTCGGACACCGACGGACCAAACTATTTTTAAAGACTTTATTTTTTACCGCTTAAAGTTTTTCTTCGTATTGCGCGCGCGCGTTATATATATATATATATATATATATATATATTAATAATATAAAATTATTGCCCAAATTTTTCACCAATCCTCATTTCAATTCAAATGCAACAATTAAATTTTGCTTAATACTTTTTGACTTTGTATAAAATCAATAAAAACATTTTATCTTTAAAGGAGATGTTGCATTTATTTTTCAATATTCTAAACAGTGTAAGGTAATTTAAACGACGTCGTGAACATAATAAAATTTTCATTTTATCTCTAATTAATTATCTAACTAATTGGTGAGCAGCATTGAAATTATAAATTTAAATTGAAAATTCTATTTACTGCTTTATTATTCATTTTAATAGTCAAGAAGTTTTGGACATAGATTTCCCTTACGATTCATTGTGATTACCTTACCAACAAATGTAAAAGCTTCGCCTTTCGCCACAAGCATTAATAATATTATTATTTTCATAAAAATGATTCGCTAAAATTCAACAAATGCTGTATAAAATAATATCTACAATATAAACAAAGAAAGCATGAATTCTGATCAACAATAAAATTAAGCGAGATGCATTAATTACGTATTTTACTGCAGTTTTATACGATGATAAATTATCGGATATTCTATGATTAACTTAAGGATAACACAGAATTTTCAAGAGAAACATTAAAATGTACGTAAATACGGAAAAATTTTTATCATAGAGTCATTATAAATTTTATATTTTACCTCCGACCTTGTTAAAAACTTAGACAAAAAACTTTTGTAGCAGTCGATAAGAGAAAAGTCCTTGCCGTTTCTTATGCAGTGAACAGTGAGCACCCGATTAAGGATTAAAATGTAAAAAAAAAAAAAATAGAACAAAAAAAGATAAGCGAAATAAACTCTTATGCTCCTTTGTTTCTATAACGAATAAACTTAATCTCTAAATTATTCGATAAATTGCACGAGCATCTTTGAATAATTAGGATAACTAATTATATTTATTGATAACAGCAACTGAACTAATATTTTAAAATAAACTGAAAAAGTTTATCTTAACGTAATTATTATTTTATTTTCATTGCCTGCTTTTATATTCATAATGCAATTAAATAAAACAATACCTAATTTACTTACTTTGTCGGATATACTTTATTACATTACCACGTACTCTTAAACAACATAAAATAACTTTGATAGTTAATATTTTTCATAAATGCTTTATAATTAATTTAAGGAATTACAGCAATTGATATTTACAACAATATTAATTTATGTATTTAATAACCCTATACAATACTAATTAATGTTTATGTGCAAAAAGTATCAAGTATTAATATAAATGATCTATTGCTACTTATAAAACGATATCCTCGTCGGTCTATGAAGTAATTCTTCTCCTAAACATCTATAATATATTGACTACTACGCAATTATTCATGCGAGTCGGAAAAAAATATTCGGATTTATGCAAATTACACATATTTTTGCATAAGCATACCATCAATAGTTCATCGTAGAAAATTTGTACAAAATATTGTTCCATATCAATCCAACTATCGAAGAATAGAATATATACAATTTTACGAAGATTTTTAATTAAACGTTCCGGAATCCTTTCAATGCTCCAAATAACGAGAGTTTGCATAAAAGGAATATTTTGAAAATTAAAGACTCGGATGTTATGTACACTCGACGCGTCTGATAAAAATCGATATTTCACTATGGTCCTCAGTTGCATAGAAATGATACAATATGAATTTCATCGTAATAATTGTCGAGGATAATATTTAATCTTCCACTTATATGAATATGAATTGTTCGCATAAAAAGCATTATAGTCTTTATCAGCGTAAGAAGCGTCCTAGCCTGATAATCAAAATCAGACTTTGAAATTTTCATAATTGAAGTAGCGGCATAATCGAGCCTTTCAGTGTAAGCTTCTGTGCACGAGATTCCGAGGTTTGGTGAGCTCGGTTTTCAAAGCCTTGGCATTTTAAAATACAGGATGTGAACTTACAGGTGACGATCCGGGACGATGGGAGACCACCGCTGTCGTCGACGACGCGAGTTGTTGTCCAAGTCGAGGACGTCAACGACCACAGCCCCGTGTTCGAGGAAAAGTTTTACATAGTTCAGATTCCTGCCACGCCGGCTCTTGATAAGACACTTTTCCAGGTACGTTCTGAATCCCCAGTACTAATATTAGTAATAATAATTTAACTCGTTGATTTTCAACTCCAAGAATAAATCTCAGACCTCGCCAGTATCACAAATGCCGAATTAATATTAAAATTAATATTGTTGTGCGCTCATGTTCTTTGCTTCTTTCACAATGTACAAATGTATTTTAAGCAATCGAGCACTGGTATGTATTCGTTAGAGGTGCGTGTGTTTCCCACTGAGTTATATTATAAAAACTGGTGTTGGATTAATTACACTTATTTGTTTTTTTTTTTTTTTTTACTTTTGACTTTTTATTATAATCCCCGATGAAACGAATAATGTGCTGCAAGCTATGTAGCAAATGTAAATATATTTGAGCAGAGTGCAAAGCCCTTGTTTATATAAAAGAAAAAAATTAATTATAAGTAAATTACGTAGTAGCCACGATATTTCGGATTTGACAAAAATTACAATTGAAATGTCGCTGTACGTAATGATATGTAATTGAAGCAGTTTTTATAAATCGCGCACGAGGATTATTATAAGTAACTGCAGTTCAAGGTGAGCTGCACTTCAATGATTATATTTTCAATTATATCGACGGCATAATTTAGAAAATTATGAATGCCATTTAAATTTAAGTACTTTAGAAAGATACTGAAAGCATCGAGCAATATCAAGGGAAATTTGATGCGATAATACCTATTTATTGAATAAAACATAATTATTTCGTAAACATATCTAGTGAAGTTATATTTGAAAATACTATTGAGCAAAGTTTTGCTTCTCTTGATGCTTTCAACATGCTAAATTGACCGTACATGGATACTCTGCAAATCAGCTGCGATTACAAAGTTAAAATTACAGATAATAAGAATGTTAGAAATTCGTTGAAGCGTATTGAACTTAAGCGTACAATTAAAAAACAGAACGAAGAAGTACAAATGGAGAAAAAGAAATAAAGGAAAAACTTTTTATGATAGGTCGTTGTATCAACAATGTTTAATAAGAACATGAAAAATAAAACATGGCGGAGTATTCGTGTAATTCATATTTTAGACCGTATCTTCGATAAATACAAGCTCGGTATCTAATTTCCATATCGCTTCATTAAAATTTCCTTCAATATTAAACGTACTCATCTATTAAAGTATCGAAAAAAATAAAAAAAAAATGTATTTCAAAAATTAAAAACAAATATAAATTTAATCTATATAATGTAACGCCTATAAGTAAATTCAAATAAAATGGCTTTAGTAGGAGCTTCGTCTCTCATCTATTTCAATAATTACATAAGCTTTAAAAGTGGATAGAATGATGGAACAATTTCAAAGTAATAGAAGAAAAAAAAATCATTTTTATAGCAAATCTTTTAAAAAATTCTTACGAGAATAATTAGTTCTCATTTTAAAATCGAGCTTACAAATACATTCTGTCAGTCATATTATTCTAGGCTTCATACAAAACTGCATACAATGTAATAATGAATTTTTCAAATTCAAATTGCGCATTGTCTTATTGTAAAATGATTTTCAAAATTTAGATGAAATAATTTAGTAAAGCATATTTCGTCTGAGTGTGCCTGAGAGAGAGAGAGAGAGAGAGAGAGAGAGAGAGTAAACTGTGCTCACTTCAAAACTTCAATTAGTCCTCTGCAGTTTCAATGAAACTAAAATTTAATACATCCAAATAAAGGAATAAGTTCTTTTCTCTTCGAATATTATTTTTCATGAATGAAAGTGCCTTGTAAAATTCAAAATGTAATAATAATGTGAAAGTAGGTATTTTAAATGTATACTTCAAAGATGAGCAGAAAACTCTAGTCATAGGATTTATTTTGCATTTGCATTAAGCTTTTAATTTTTTAAACATTGAATTTAAATGGTTTAGATATAAGTGAAAGGTATATTATGAATAAATTATTACTAGGCCAATTAATTATTTCACTATCGATATATTGATTTTAGATAAAAATAAGCATAACATCGATAAAAAATTTGTATTTATAAAATGATGTAACTAAATATTCGAATCATTATTTATGCTGTAAAACACGTTGAAGCATATTTAATATAATACATTACGGAAAAATAATTAAAATATTAATTTAATATATCATAAGATTGTTTTTTAATGCAAATAAAATATTATATTCGTTTATATCATTATTGAATATTTCAAGTTCGATAATTGGATGAAATGCATATTATTTTGCACCACATTATTAGAGTTTTTATAAAAGCACTATATAGTGGAGGATAGATTATTCTAATCACTTTTTCACATAAAATATGTCTATATTTACATGAAGCAATGGTCACACAGGGATAGTATATTTGGATTTATGTAAATTTGAAATGGATTATTAAAATTACACTTGCTTCTTCGTAGAAGAAAATAAAAAATAATCTTCAAACAATTCGGTTTAACGGTTTTACTTTCATCGAAGTGTATACATTGGAAATTTATTATATCCATCTACTTTTCACATCAAAAAACAATTTATGTTTTTCTTTAATTTTCTATATAGGCTATTTTATATTATCGAATGCATAATTTATGTAATAACTATGCTATATGAAAAGCAATACGTAAAAATGAAATGAAAAAAAGATAATATTCTCAAATTTAATTAAAACTAATTGATTTAAACGTTTTGTCTAATATAAATAAAACGATAATGTACATTTGAATTTTTCTTTACTTTTCAAGATTTTTCTATATATATATATATATATATATATATATATATATATATACATGCATTTATATTAACAGTACAAATACTGATTTCAATTATAATAATAACAATTCCAGTAAATTGCGAATTTCATTATGCATTAATAAATTTATATCAGTATATACGGGAAACATTAAAACATCTTTTTACAACGCCAATATATTTATTAATTGTAAAATAATATTTAAATATTAAAGGACTATTAATCGTAAAAATACTGATTTAATATTTTATAAATATCAATATTTTAATAATATTCATAGTTTTTACATTTTCATCCCCCATCTTGTTTTAATGTTTACTTTTTGTTTTAATGGCCTAATGAATCAATAGTTAAAATTTTCAGATTCTTTATACATACAAGAATTTCAAAAATCTCTTGTACTCCATGGAGTCGGAAAAATAAATTTTTACGTCATATTTAATAAATTAGATTTATTTCAATTTTGAATTTATTAAAAGTTATATGAAGATTAATATCAAACTGCAAATGTAAATATAAATTATTGCGCCCATGAATTTTATAATAAGCGAAAACAATGAATTAGTTCAATAATTTGTTTAATACAGTAGAAACATGCGGAATTGATTACAATATACGACTTTAAAGTCAGATTTCGAATTTTTACAATACGCTTTCTTTTGAAATTCACTGCTTTAATGAATAAAATAGAAATAGTTAATTACACTTTAAATAGATCGTTTCTTTCTTTCTGAATTATTGATTTCTTGAAATAACGTTATTATTAAAACACAAAAGTAAAAAATTTAAAAATGTTAATGTAAACACCTCTTTAATCTGATTGATCAATTTCATTTATTAAACATACATTATTACATGAGTAATGATTTAATTTTCATTGTATTAAGAAAGTAAGTTTGAAAAATCATCCATATTAATTATCCAATTTATTTATCGTTAATATATAGGAAGCTGAAATGAAATTCGCAACTGCCATAATAATCTAGATAATTAATATATTGGATTATAGAGATTAACAATTAAAAAATACCAAACATTACCTAGAATTTAATTTTTATAAAAAAAGTATTTTTTTCTCTAAGTAAAATTTTGTTTAAAAAAAAAAAAAAAAAAACTATGCTTAAATAAGATATACCGTAGGCTTATTGAACAAACTTGGATCATCAAATTAAATAATCTTATATTTGCAAATTTAATAATGTTTGAATATTATTTAAAATTTCCATTCCTCCACGTCTTTATTATCTGGTCTTTTATTTTATACGATACCTTAATGTATTCCATTGTGACGTGAAAAAAATTAGTTCATATTTTGTTCAATCGATTTTTGATAACGTTAAATTTAAATCGATCAGCTTACAAGATCAAATGTTCATTTGTTTAATTTAATTATACAGCATTCATAAATTAAAACTTCAATGCTATAAAACACATATAAAAAATAATTAAATAATTTATTTAATAAATTCAACGACGATATATCGAAATATGAAAGCGCGTATCGTAAATAATTTATTAATTTTTTTATCATTATTTCGAAAGCTCCTGTCGCTCAAATTTTCTAATAGAAGAAGAAATATCAATGGTCTATGTAATAATATTCACATTAATAAGTAAATAATTCATTGGTTATATGCTGAGGACGAGATAATAAATACATGTAAGACGATGATTGATCGTGTTGTTTTCTTTCTTTAATCCTCGACAGAAATCGGGAAGAGAACGGTCGCGGGAGTTGGACCTCTCGGTCGACGCGTTGCTTGAAAACGGAACTTGGGAGACCTTTAGCCCCGATGGCCTGTCAGGGGATCGTATCTTCAGGGTAAGGTGCCTTACCTTCCTGCATGTCTATTCTCTCATCACACATACGAGAAAGAAGCACAGCTGGTCGATTAATTCTAAATTAATGCATCTCCCACAGCGATGAAAAACAAAAAAGAAAAAACAAAACAAAACGGAACTTTATGTGAAAACCTTTCGGGCTATTTAGATACGTTTGATGTAAATTCGATATTTGTTACGCAATTGTAATTGGTGCATATGATTGTTATATTTTTTGCCATTGAGAAATCAAAGTTGATTGACATTGCTATAATTTATAATCTATTCAAGCAAGAAAGTCAAACATTCCTTAAAATCTTTAACGCTTGCTTACCTATCAGATGAATCTTTATTATTTACGATGGAATTGTGTTCTACACGCGCGCGCGCGCACGTACATACACACACGCACGCACGCACGCACGCACGCACGCACGCACAGTCAGCCACAGACAGGCGCAGACGCGTGTTTATGTATTCGACTTATAATGATACTAATGTAAATGTGTAATAGGTAATAAACGAATGATTGAGTTAAGCGAAAATAGTTTCAGGTGAAGGTATAATAAATTATACTCTCTTATCCGTATGAATTAATAATAGAAAACAATAGAGACATTGTTTGCGTCATTTGATAATTAACATAAATGATTAAAATTATCGGATATCTCATCTATATTAATAATAAACTATATTCAACTTGGACTTTAATCTATCTTTTTCTTTTATTTAATTAATCTTTTTATTGTCTAATTTTATTCTTTAGATATATTGTATGCATTTATTCAATTTTATTTATAGCATTTATTAAATTTTTTTATTGGTGTAGATTTTTGTGAAAGTTTAATTTAATCGGGCAATTTTTATAATAGTAGACCGATGTACACGAAGTAAATGGAGTGAAAAATTTTTTTAACATTGATAGAAAAAATCATTGCGTAAGCTCGCGAGCATCGCTGGACCTTTCTTACTCGCTCTACCAATTTTGAATGCTTTTCTGCTTACACAAACATAAATACAAATCTGTACATTCTCACCCATTCTTGGCCCCATTCGCATACACGCACGCACACGCTCTAATATGCACTGATACACATCTGCTTTGTTCGATTAACTGTGTGAATCCGCCTTAGGTAGGCAAAACTTGGTTTTTGATTGATATACATCAAATATTACGAGAAAACGAGATGCGTGTGTATGTGGTTATGGATATGCACATATGCACACCTGCATGTACACACAATCAGGCTCTGTATACCAAGTCAGTGGCAATATGCTTTTAAATAATGTTGATTGTTTTACAAAAATTTAGATACTGAATATGTGGCTGTGGTAAGAGAAAGATTATTACTTTAAATGCTTGAAATATCATGTCTGTTTTCAATCGTTCAAATCAGAATTCCTTGCACCTTAATCTAATGAGAAATATGCGAATACATGCAAATATATCTATTGTCAAGAACAATATTTCTTATATAATAACATTTCTGTGTGGTGTGCGTGTGTGTGTGCGTATGTGCGTGTGCGTGTGTGTGTGCGTATGTGCGTGTGCGTGTGCGTGTGCGGTAATAGTAATGATTAATATGCGTGTGAACCGATCGTATGGTTAGATATTCGAATGAGACTGATTGTAAATTTCATTCGTAATACAAACTCAGAAAGATTTATATATAAACTTCTGATTTTTCGTTATCGATCATTCGCATTAGAAAGGTTTTTAAATTTTTATGAGAAATTGAAATTAGGCTTACTTAGCTTGAAGTTGAAATATATTGCTCATTGAAATTTCACTTCATTCAATGGCTATTACCATCAATCGCACGTACAAGAGCGAAGTAAAAACTAATTTCACATTAATATAAGATATGAAATTCTCATATTTTATAAATGCGTATTAAGTCGTACCTTCGCAAATCCGCAATCGTAGCTTACTCTATCTCCTTAAAATATCACCGTAAGAGTCTTTACCATTTATAAATGCGGATGGAGCATTAAAATCACAAGCAAATGCATCTTTTATGTATAGAATGACACGTGTATATTTGTATGAAAGTTGCATTCGGAGTGCCGTCCCGTGTTTGGCCGAGGTGGCAAATAAATTAACACGCCAATAGATAAAGTTTAACTGATCCATTAAAAATCACCGAGTATACAGCGTTTATTATGTACAGTGTGTTACATTACGTGTATGCTTGTGCCTGTACTTCTTGTACGGCCGGGAACGTGATTGTCGTCTCAATAAGGCTACACAGGAGAGTAATAAGCGCCCGTGTGCTCTCATCGCCCTCTGATATCTCGATAAGTGACAAAGACAATTTTGTACACTCTAATAACGCAGGAGATGTTGCCAGTTGGAGAATCGTAAGAGCAACTCATTAAAATCCCAGAAGCCGTAGGGAGAAAGCTCCGCCGTTGAATAAAATTCAATGGCAATGCTGCGTACCTTTGAATCAAGGCCGGCTGTTTAGCCGCTCTCGTTCGATTTTGATACAATGGTTATCCCCGACTTCTCGTCCTGGCAAAAAGTCTTGCTGGCACGCATTGAATTCCAGAGGGAATTACGATTGCGCTACCGGGCAGCAGCCTCTCTGCATTTTCAACCGCGTGAATTCTCCGGACACTTTAATGCTGCTTCGCACGAGCCTATGTGGGGAATCTAATAAGCCTTACCCCGATCCACCCACCGCTCCTGCCACCTCTCCTCCCCCCCCCCCCCACCAGGAAATCCACAATCGCGTCAATGGCATTGGCTCGATGAAGAATTCGCGCTTTTACTCTCGACTACACTTCGGCATGTACTCGAATCACCGGCGGCGCGCATCGCTTTGATTTCTTCTCCTTTTTTTCTATTTTTCGTCGTCGTCGTCGTCGTCGTCGTCGTCGTTATTGTTATTTTTATTGTTATTGTTGTTGTTGTTTCGTTTTGTTTTCTTTTTTTCTTTTTTGTTTTAATGGCATTGAGCCTCCTTTTATTTCAGCCATGTTATTTATATTCGTTAGCGCATACTCGATGTAAATAGACTGTTACGCGCGAGCGTTTCTGCTCTTATAGGGCGTAAGTGCTCGAATCGATACACTTGGTTAATCGAGAAGCCGCAACTACTGTAATTTATTCGCTTTATTTGGCTGTTACACGCATTGCGCGCATGCTGATGAATATTTGATATTTACTTTACATATGTATTATATCCATACGCACACGCACGCACGCACGCACGCACGCACGCACGCACGCACCAAGGAACATAAACAAGGAATATTTTAACACTTTTCTTTTCGTTTAAGTAATTTGATGTTTATTAGAAAAATAATATTAATGGTTTTACTGGAATATGTATCAATATTTTTTTGTTTTTTTTTTTGTCGTAACTTGATTCATTACACATTAGAATGAGAAGGTTCTCTCCAATTTTATAATTTCTAATTTAATAATTTCAAGTCGTTTCTTATTTCTTAGTTTTAACATCATAACAGTTACTCGTAGTTTTTTATATGTTACTTTTCATAGTAAAATAAAAAAAAAAAAAAAAACAAATTGAAATCGAATAGACGATTAATATTGCATTCTTCTCGTAGGTTTTAGCACAGGACGAAGATATCGGAAAAAATGGAAAAATTCAGTACAGTATTAAAAGTGGCAAAGGTAAAGGAAAGTTCAAAATCCATCCCGATACAGGAATGGTATATTCGCAAAAAGGTTTCGAAGCCGGCCAGGAATTCGATATGATCGTAAGTAATAATTTTGCATATTTAAACGTATTGTTTCTATAATTGAAAAATATTGGTATAAATTATTGTTTATTAACTATTTGCCTGATCCACGAAATATCATATGCTTGTGAGTAGAAGATTGTTTTTTTTTTTTTTTTTTTTTTTTTTTTTTTTTTTTTAAAGGAAAAATTGCTAAAATATTCATACCAGTTATGAACTTATATTACATTGTAGCAAAGAAAATTTTCATCTAAATTCTCTCCATTTTGCAAACAGCGACTCCAATCTTTAACAAAAATCTAACCAAAAAATATTACATACTTTTTGTAAGGAAATTGAAGAATATGGTTCACTTTAAAAAGTAATGAAATTTAAAAGATACCTATTCTCGTCGCCAACCATTCCTTGAATAAATGCATGCAACGTCCCATAAATATCTAAGATTGTTAACATATTTAAACTTCGTGCCAGATACGAGCTGCGGATGAAGGTGAGCCACCGCGTAGTCACCAAGCAAGAATTACAGTCCAGGTCGTAGAGACTCCGAAAGAATCTTTGAATGCTCCGGTATTCAAAAGCGTCAACCAGAGCGTAGAGGTAACGGAGAGCGATAACATCGGATTTTTGGTAGCCCTTATGCAAGCAACTGATAAAGACGGTGACAGTCTCTGGTACGACATTATTGGTGAGTTCGAACTTCCCACTACCCCCTATCTCTGAATATCCAAAAGTGTTGTATTTCTCAAAAAAGAAATAAAAAAAAAATGAAAAAATATAGAATGTACGTTATTAGAGAAAGAGAGAGAGAGAGAGAGAGAAAGTAAAAATGTAAATATTGCACGTACATATGAAGGTGCAAGCTATTTTTATACGACTCTTATCGCTTCTTATTGCTTATACGTAACAACATTATGTTCAAAGCCGGAGATCCACGGGACGAATTTGTTATTGGACGAGACAACGGCAACGTTCTACTGGCAAAGCAGTTGGACTGGGAGACGCAGAATTCTTACAACCTGACGATTTGCGTCACAGATGGCATCAACGAGGCACTAACCTACCTCCTAGTCAAGGTTATTGACATCAACGACCACCGACCAGAATTCAGCGAGTCCACCTACCGTATCGAAGTTTCGGAGAATGTCGTGGAGAAGGGCGCCTCCATACTCCAACTGCATGCCGAGGATCGCGACGAAGACAAAAAAGTGTTTTATTCGTTGCACAACGCGCAGAACCAGGCGAGCCTCGAAATCTTCCACGTGGACTCGTTAACGGGGACCATCAGTCTGAACGAGGCCCTCGATCGCGAGACCATTCAGGAACACGTGTTAACGGTGATGGTGAAGGACCAGGGCACACCGGCCAAGAGAAATTACGCGCGAGTCCTCGTCACTGTCCACGATCACAACGATCACGCGCCCCACTTTATAAGCGAGATCATCCAGGGCAAGGTCTTCGAGACCTCGCCTATTGGCACCGCTGTCGTTCAGGTCAGCAATTCAGATTATTTGTACGCACGCTTAAATTAAATGACGTAACTGATATCAATTGCTTTCGTCTCGTGGAATATTTGTTCATGGTGTATTTCATTGTCGCGCTTACGAATGCCAAACCAGCCAGCGGTTATTAAATAAAATATTCTATTATTCTTGTCGATGCGATATTTGTCAATTACGTGCATTTTCAGGCATTTAGACGATAGTTCAATTGAACTAATAAAAAGTTATTCGAGTCCCCTTGTCGTAATAATACTGTGTAGAGATTTTTTTTTCTCCTTTTTTTCTATTTTTTTTTTTTTATTGTTTTATTTTTGTCCCCCTGCAAATAAAATTCAATGTTTTGTAAGCTTTAGGAAATATTTTAATAACATTATACAAAATTCATTTATTAATTCATTCATGAATTTCATGAAATATTGATCAATTTCATTTATTACATACGTCAACGATAGAATAATTACAGTCTGTCACAATCAGTTATGTTATTCTTTAAATAATTTATTGCATCTGTTATTCTTTAAATAATTTATTATACCGTATATCTCAATTTGCTGCAATTATAAATGTTGACGATAATTGGAGAAAATTCAAATTCGAGATCATTCAAATAGCCGTATATTGTATTTTATTAGCTAATAATTTCTAATCAAATAATTTTTAAGCTAATTTCTTATTAAAATCAATGCTTTACTGATATCGAGTGAGGAAAGTAAATTTCCCTTGAAACTAACTTCGATTAAAGAGCAATTCATAATGACGAATTAGTCATTTTGTGTGAGTAGTCGGCGGCACGTTTCGTAGTACATTTAATATTCTCAGACTTAACATTCCCTTATGAAGTCATGAAAATTTAATTGAATTAAACATTATCGTTTCCTTTTCTTAGCTAAACATTGATTTTGTTAAAATAAAATGTATCGCTCAATATATTATGTCCAACGCCAATAAACTCTATTCTAGTCGCCATACCCAACACTTAACATTATTAACGCATGTTAAAGCGTAAGATCCAATGACAACACAACGGATCTCAAGTGCATCCAGTCGATCCCAGTAGCCACACGGATAGGCCGATCGATAATGATTAACGATGCTCGTTATTGGCGTAGAAGGTGGAGCGGAAAATTATCGGTGAAGCATCGTAATAACCGACATGATCGTTGATTTACAGGTAATAGCCATAGATCGGGACCGAGGTGAGAACGCCGAACTCACGTACTCGATGACCTCTGGCAACGTCGGCAACGTCTTCTCCATCGATCCGGACCTCGGCCTCATACGCGTCGCTCGCGAGCTCGACCTCGGCTCCGCCTCCGAGTATATCCTTCTCGTAAAGGCGACGGACCATGGCTCTCCCGCACTCGCCAATAGCATACCCGTACACGTAATGGTGACGATGGCCGATAATGCGCCGCCACGCTTCGTCAGGAACGGCGCGGAGTTGGCTGCGGAAATCTACGAGAACGAGGAGCCCGGGAGCTTCGTAAAGCACATCGAAGCGCGTTCCACATCGTCACTACAGTTCGAGATCGTAGCTGGCAATCCGGGTGACGTCTTCTTCATAAACCCCAGCACCGGCGTCATCAGCACCCAGGAACAGCTCGATTACGAGATGCTCAAGTTTTACAATCTGACGATTACTGCAACGAGTATGGCCGGGGCGAGCGCGCACTGCAGCGTCATTGTGCACGTGCTCGACAAGAACGACAATGCCCCACGATTTATCCAGGCTGTTTATGTTGGGCAGGTAATTCATAATTATTTTATTTATTTATGATTGTTATTTTTTGTTTATTTTTTGCATTGTTTTACTAGTCTTTTATCATTTTTGCGACTGTCAGCGTGGATGAAAGGATGATTTATTGATTTATTTGGCACGTATGGTAATTTGAGGAGAGACTGTGCGCAGTGCATCGAATGCACAAATAGAGAGCGCTTATTGATGAGAATACAAAATTAAATATTTCTTCACTTAACGACTCTTTTAAAAATTCCGAAAATTGCTTCAATGATCAAACGCATCCGTTCGTTCTCTCTTTTAAGGTAAGCGAGGCTGCCAACATTGGCTCCCTCGTCTTTAGTAGCAACAGTACGAATTCCCCCCTTGTCATTAAGGCCGAGGATGCGGATTCAGAGCTCAATGCCCTCCTCAACTACGACATCGTCGAGGAACTGCCAAGGAAATACTTCCACATAGATTCCAGTACAGGCGCCATTCGCACCGTCATGCTCCTGGATCACGAAACAATACCAAAGTTTCAATTTCATGTGAAGGTCTCCGACCTCGGCAAGCCCAAGTTGTCGTCCGAAAGTACGGCCAAAGTGATAATCACCGTCACTGACATCAACGACTGCTCACCTAAATTTCAGCAATCCGATTACAACGTTACGGTTCTATTACCAACTTGGAAAAACGTGGCTGTCTTAAAGCTGGAAGCTGTAGATCTCGATACAACTAACGCCCTCACCGCCCAACCATCCTTAAGGTAATTTATTGACTCTAAAATTATTCGATCGATGTGTGCATACGTATGTATAATGATTATCGAAGAGAAAAATTTTATTGTTAAATCTGAGCTGTTGGATTGGCAATTCATAGGTAGCGATTGAACGGATATTGATTGTATTGTGCTTTGTTTTCGGTGCTAAAAAAAAATTTATAATCTATTTTATTTCAGGTATGACTTAATAGATGGAAATCAAGGACACGCTTTCCGTATAGACTCCGACAGTGGTGTGCTGACGATTAACAATCCCGATCTCATAAAGAAAAACTATGTGCTGCATGTGAGAGTTTCCGATGGCAAGTTCTCGAGTATTGCTCAAGTCAATATCAACGTCGAAAAATCCGAGAATTCGGGCCTTGTATTCCAAAAGGACATGTACGAAGGGACTGTCTTGGAAAATTCAACGAAAATCACGACCGTGGCGGTCTTGAATGTTTTAGGCACCGCGTTAAACGAACACATAATCTTTAGTATATTGAATCCTACGGAACTGTTTGTAATTGGGATGACTTCGGGTGCTGTTAGTACAACGGGCGTACGCTTCGACAGGGAAGCTTGTGATAAATATGAACTAATAGTCGAAGCTAAGAGTCAAGTACCCAAACAAAGAGTTGCTCACGTTATCGTTAACGTCACAGTTTTAGATATCAACGATAATTGTCCGATTTTCGTTAATTTGCCATATTACGCCGTGGTGTCGGTGGATGCTCAGAAAGCTGACGTCATTATGAAGGTAAGCAAGACTAGTTTTTAAGAGTCAAGGGCCTTCTTAGGAGTCAAGAATAACAATGTCGAAGTAACACGTGTATACATTTTGGAATATTTGCGCAGGTGCATGCTATTGATTTGGATAGCGGGGACAACGGAGAAGTCCGATATGAACTGAAAAAGGGCCATGGCGAGCTTTTCAAAGTTTGCCGAAAAACTGGAGAAATATCGTTAAAACAAAATTTGGAAGGCCATAATCGAGAATATCAACTGACCATCGCTGCATACGATGGAGGTAAACGAAGTAAACAAATTTTACATTAAAGCTTTTATCGAAATGTCTACAATTATTGCCTCTTGAAATTATTAATATTTTACGTTTATTGTAGGTATTAGTGCTTGCTCGGTCGAAGTGCCAGTCAACATTAAAATCATCGATCGCTCGATGCCAGTTTTCGATAAACAATTCTATACAGACAGCGTTCTCGAAAGTATCGAAGTCCACTCGCCTCTTGCTCTCTCCATTCAAGCCGAATCGCCCTTAAATAGAAAATTAATTTACAGTATTACGAAGGGCAACGATTTTGAAGAATTCGCATTGGACTTTAACACAGGTATAAAATCATGTCATGTTGTCATTGAAATAAATTAGAATAATATGATTAATAGTTATTTGAAAAGAATACGATAGGCTGTTAATGTAATTAACGAGTATTTAGATAAAAGAAAATTATTATTTCATTTTTATTAGTCGATAGAGCGCACTTTAAGCTTGTAATTATGATTTCATTCCCTTTCATTAAGTTCATCAATAATGGATAAGATATATTTTTTAATACACGAGCGCTCTTTCGATCTAAGAGTTTTTTTTTTTTTTTTTTTTTTTTTTTTTTTTTTTTTTTGAACGAATTTAAAGAAACTCGGAAATTAAACTTGATTTTTTTTTTATCTCCCTATTTCGCAGCCATCGACAGTAGCAATGGTCCTTGTGAGTATAAAAATGAAAACAAATATATCGGTCTACTGTGTTGCTGTATACCATGCTATAGTATTGCTACATTTTTCCATGTGCGCATGATTGTCTTTTCAATTTTGAAACATAACTCAATGACTCGCGCTTAAAATATTAATAAATCGACGTAGCATTTAATCGAAAGAATCTATGAAAATTTGCGGTCTCCAAGTAAAACGTTTGAATTATTTCATTTTATTGAACGATACAAAAATAAAATACTCGCAAAGAAATTCAAATAGAATGTCATAATTTTTCCTTTATTTTGTGCATGGATGAAATTTTATATTTGAATATAAACTTCCATTATAAATAATAAAGTTTGTTTCTTAAACTTATTTACACACTATGCTAAATTGCCTGCTTTACTTGCACGATAAAGAATGTCGGAGTTTCGAAACTTTAAGCAGTCGATTATATTAATCACTTAATCACATTAAAAGTTGGAAACCTTTTAAATCATTTTTTTTTTCCAAATTAAAACTCTTAATTTAGAAAATTTCTCATTAATTATTAATAGAAAATAATCGAATGTGATTTTAAAATGGTTTGCTAAATCATCAATTATAAATGCAGCATCGAAGTATTAAGTATCTCAGTGTCATTGTAATGTAATGCACGGAATTTCATCTGCAATTACCCTAATGATTCACACGTACAATTTAAAATTTATTTTTTGTATGATTATAATTCATAAGGAGGTAACAAATGCATAAAAAAAATTTTTTTTATCTATTTAAAAAATGATTTTAACAGTTTTCCCTTCATTACAAGATAGAAAAATCAATTATCTTTATACCGCAATTAACAACTCACAACTCATTACCGTAACGATTTACATTTAGTGTTCAGCTTTATTTTCTTTTTTTCTTTCTTTTTTTTTTTTTCTTTTTATATTAAAAATTTGTATTGTGCACAGCTATATAAATGTGTAAGTGTGTTTTTTTTATATCTATTAAAAAGTCTTTCTATCTATTGCTTTCTATCTTTTTTTCTTCTTTTTTTCTTTTAAGCAATAAAAATCATATAGATATACATTTTAAACATTAAAATTCTGAACAGAAAATTTGCTTGAGAAATTATGAAAATTTATTGAAGTTTTAATATTTATAAAAGTTCTTATTATATTATTATAAGCCACTTATGCTTATGTACATTAATAGAAATAACGAAATGTTTTATTTCGTTATAAAAACAATTCCTTTTCTTCTTTTTTTCCTTTTTTTTTTTTTTTTTTTTCAATGTAATTTTCTGTACAGCAATATACAATGACAAATTCACTACATCTGATTTTAATAATATGCTATTAGGAGACGTAAACATTATTGGGTAAACTTGTTTTTATACAAATTTATACTACATTATTCATATAAAGTATACAAACAATGGCTTAAATAAAATTATGAAAACTAACAAACAAAATAGTATTTTTAATCGGTAAATTTAGTTTCAGCATAGACCAAAGTTCTCTCGATTATATACTTTGCGTACTTGTGAAAATGAATATGATATTTCATAATAATAATATCCAAATAATAAGCTCCAAAAATATATACGAAATTGCAAAATTTACTCGATAATTCACTGCGTCTTCTATTGATATTAATCAGTGGGCGATCAGTGGGTAAAATAATTATCATTTCCCTTGTCAACAGGTGTAATTTATGTGGTGGATGAGCTGGATTACGAGAAAAAAAAACAGTACGAGCTTACGGTACGCGCGACAGACAGCGTCTCCGGCGTTTACGCCGAGGTCCTCGTCTCGATCCTCGTGCTTGACGTGAACGACTGCCCGCCGGAGTTCAGCCAAGACTTTTACAATATCTCGATCTCGGAAGCGGCGTTGTTTGGCACGGAACTGCTGCGCCTCATCGCGCGCGACAACGATACCGGGGTGAATCAGGAGGTGCGCTACGCGATCGAGAGACAAACCACGGAGGAGCTCGGTGACAATAGTTCCGATCTCTTTCACGTGGATCCCGATGAGGGCATCGTTTATCTGAAGCGCTCGCTCGATCACGAGAATGCGGATTCGCACCACTTCACGGTCGTGGCCACCGACCGGGGCGTCCCGAGTCTCTCCAGCACCGCGCACGTTTGGCTCAGCGTTGTCGACATGAACGACAATCCGCCCCGATTCGAGCAGCCCTCCTACAGTTGCACTTTGTCCGAGGAAGCCGAACGCGGACAGTTTGTCACAGTGCTCACGGCATCTGATCCGGACGCTCTCGACGTTAAACTCATCTACACCATCGTCGGAGGAAACGACCAACAGACCTACAGTATCGATCAAAGCAGCGGTGTCGTTACTCTCCTCAACATGCAGAACTTCGCCGAGCAAAAGATGAGCGTCCTAAATGTATCGGTGAGCGATGGTGTCTACACGAGCTTTGTCAGACTGAAGATCGAGATCTTACCGGCGAACAAGCACTCGCCCAAGTTCCCGAATCCCGTGGTCGAAGCGACGCTTTTGGAGAACCAACTGCCTGGGAGATTAGTAGCGCGAGTCCTCGCGACCGACAAGGACTTTGGCGAGTACGGTGCTATTTACTACTCGATTGTCTCCGACTATCTCACGGAGTTGTTTTCCATTGATCGCGAGAGCGGTGAAATCACAACAAAGAAGCTCTTCGACAGAGAGGAAAAGAAGCTATACGAAATACCGGTGATGGCGAGCGATGGAGGCAGCAAGTCGGGCTTCGTCATCGTGCGCGTGAAAATCATTGATGAAAATGACAACGCACCTGTGTTCTTACTTAGGGAGTATAAAGCCTGCATACACGGCAATTTGAGCCTTAATTCGATATTCCTAAAGATAAGGGCTCAAGACATCGACGAGGCTGACTCGGCGAGAATCGAATATTCCATTTTTGAGCCTCAGAATTCAAAGACGAAGAATATTTTCGGCATTAATCCGGATACCGGTGCACTCTTCCTCAAAGAGAATCCAAAACCTTGGGGTGAGTTTCGAGAGCTGAATGGTTTGGTCGCACTAATCGCTGTAATTATTTCTCTCTTTACTGCCGTTTCAATTATAAGTTTCTCGATTTATTCATAATTAATAAAATTGAATTTCTATCTAAGAGCCAATTACACTTAATTCAAATAAATTAACAAATAAGCTAATAATTGTACTTTCAGAAAACCAATTGTTTCAACTTTTTATCCGAGCGCAAGATAGAGGAGTGACCTCGCATCATATGGACGTGCCTTTGGATATTTACATAATGGGTCCGGAGGATGTGCCACCGCTCTTTGAAAGAAAAGACGACAAATTCTTTGTGTCCGAGTCATCAACGATTGGGACACCGATCACACGACTAAAGACCGTCACGAATACGAACGGCACAGTAAGTTGTCGGCTGGTCTCCGCTGGTGAAAACTTCCCATTCTCCGTGGACCCAAAGACCTGCCGCGTGTACTTGTCAGCAAGCCTAGATCGCGAAATCAAGGACAACTACATGATCGGCGTTCTGGCCGAAACGGACTCGAGTCCACCGCTTACCGCCCTAGCCGAGATAAGCCTACAGGTTCTGGATGAAAATGACCACGCGCCGAAATTCGAAAGCAACCCGTACAGCATCGCCGTCGCCGAGAACACCGAGGAGGGTACATCGATTTTGAAAGTCATCGCACACGACAACGATCTTGGGAGCAACGGGGAAGTTCGATACTCTTTCGGCTCCGATATCGGCGAATTAGCTAATGTTTTTACGATCGATGCTTACACTGGCTGGATTTCCACCTTAGTGGAACTCGATAAGGAAAAGCAACCGGAATATAAACTCCAGGTATTTGTCACTTATATCACTTATTTCGCTCTGCAACATTCGTAATTACATATTACAGTTCTCCTTTTAATATTAACTTGTTAATAATTAAAGAGAAATAAAAAAATAAAAAGAAAGGAAGATGAAGAAAGAGTACATTATACCGCCGAAAGAATAAAATTACAATTGTCACTTTTTACATTGTGTTCGAAATATTGTAGGGATGTAATTCTTGGCTCGAACTGCCAATGCTTCGATAGCTTAGTTTGCCGCTCGCCCTAGCAGACGCTCGGGAAGAGAGTGAAATGTAGGTGGATGGGCTGTACAAGAGTCGTGAGAGTTGGTTAATTATATATTTATTATACAATTTATTAGACAATTTACAAATGGGTGGTTTTGAATTTTCTTGAATCTAATGTGAAGATACGCTTCTTGTATAGGAGGTGTCACTACACAAGATGCCTTGAGATAGTTGAATTGATGAATATTGCAGAGATAAATAATTACTGCGCACTTCTGGTTGGAGAGTGTGAGATAATCTTGTTGGTTGTCTTATGCCGGTTCTGCCGCCGGCTGACAATAATTGAAAAGATAATATGTATCAACGTACTTACAGCGATGTCGTAATTCAATCTCTGATTCAGCGGTGAGGCGGATACAATTGTACGGAGCAAGACCACTGCGTGCGGCATGACTTTTATACTCACAAGGATGCACTATTCTTGATCTGATCTGGTGGTGAGAGGGACACAAATTATGTGTGGCGTGACTCTTATACTCACCAGCACTATTTATTCTTGCCTTGAAGTACTAGCACTTATTTCTGCATTGAGTGAATTTTTTGGCTTGGTTTCCGTGAACAATTAATCTCTGTTACTTGACCTTTCCCTAGACTGCTCACTCTCACTCTGTGTGATTTGTCTTTTTCGGAAGAAAGGCCCTTGGCTGCCCACGTGGACTGCGTATTCCAATAATTTCACCGCGAACAGCGACTTTTCCCTGTCTTGTTCCCATCTTTAAGGCCTCTTGCCATGAGTCCTCACTCAAGGAGCTTCTGGCCTTAGTTTTCCAATCAGGGCGTGATGAATGTGCACGCCCTTTTCCCACTTCATAAGAAATTAGGCTTAGACAATGAGAATATCGAAGGAGTATGTTTGGCGGCAATGCGTGAAGTCGAAAGGTTTGCCCCTCTCCGGGACTCATCGTGGTGGGGGTGATTTTCAATCAAACGTCTTCGCTTGGCCTATGCAAGCAGCAACGGTTGTCGTACTTGACAACAATGCATGCGTATGCCCTTGTGGCATTGAAGGCACACGTGCGACGCATAATGTCGAGAGTCGCGCGTGCCGAGTTTCGGGTTGCAACGGATTTTAAGAAATATTTTTCATTCAATTGTTTAGAAATATTTTAATCCTCAAAATATACTCGTATAAACAGTCTAGTCGGGTTTTGATGTGAACTCTCAAGGATCCTCATTGCATTCAAAACAATTACTGCGTCTTTAATACGAAAGGCAATAAAGTGGCTGTTTACGAGTTCACAGATGTACAAACCTTTTCGAGTCTCATGCAACCTTGGCGAGAATTTCTTATTTGTTCGTATCCGTTCGATAATTCCCTTTTTATTAGCTGTTGAAGGTTTTTCTAGTAAATATAATTCGAGATATTTTCTTTTCACTCTCGAACACATTGATAAACTTGTATCGATGAATAATCATTAAGCTCTATTAGATTTTTTTTACCCATATCCATTTTATTCGATTGCAGGTAGTTGCCACTGATAACGGGAATCTGCGCCATTTTGCTCGGACTTCTGTGCTTATCAAGCTAAAGGACTACAACGACCATCCATCTTCGTTCCTTCAAGGTGAAAAGGGATATGAAGCGACGGTGAAAGAAGATGCATTGCCAGGAACTGTAGTGGTCGAGATAACGACCGTGGATAAAGACGTTGACCTGAACACACCGCTGGACTTTTACATAACATCTGGTGATTCGCGTTCCCAATTCTCAATACGATCGACCGGACAGGTTTACGTGGCCAAAGCCCTCGATCGAGAGACGATCGATCGCTACATACTGACGATCATGGGCACAGACGGCAAATTCGTTTTTGAAACACGCGTCACCGTTCAGGTGACTATCCAATTGCATTATTTATGTTGCGATTATAACCTTTCGATACTAATGGGACGATCCAATCCAAAACAAATCTCTTGATTTTTTTTTTTTTTTTTTTTTTTTTTTTTTTTTGTTTCTCTAGGTACTCGACGTTAATGACAATCCACCCTATTGCCTACGATATCGCTACAGGGAAATATTGTCGGAAGGTTCGCATCCGGGCAGCTACGTACTGACGGTCCTCGCTACCGACTACGACGATGAGCCAAACGCCAAGCTACGCTTCTACTTAACGGGCGAGAAGAACGAAAAGTTCTCGTTGGATAAGGAAACCGGTATACTGAAGACCGTCGGGCAGCTCGATCGCGAGAGTCAAGCGAAATATCTTTTGACGGCTCACGTTCAGGATCGTGATAAGCCCATGTGGGAGTGTTCGTCACAGCTTGACATCGTCATCTCGGATCTCAATGATAACGCGCCCCGTTTTAACATGCCATCTTATACGGCGATGTTGCCCGAGGACGTGGAGGTGGGTACATTGGTAACGAAAGTGCACGCTACGGACGACGATATTGGCATCAACCGAAAGATTCGTTACGAGTTTCTCGACTCGGCGAACGATCACTTTGTCATTGCCGCCGACAGTGGTATAGTGACCCTCGCCAAGCCCCTCGATCGCGAGACCAAAGCCATGTACAATCTGAGCATTCAAGCGGTAGATCAGGGTATACCGCGACTGCACAGTCAAACCTTCCTCATCGTCAACGTGCAGGACATCAACGACAATCCTCCCGAATTCACCTCCAAGTTCTATTTCGCGAGAGTGCCCGAGATCGACGCGGTCGGGACCGAGGTTGCCCGAGTCCTCGCCACCTCCAAGGACACCGGCGTCAACGCCGAGGTGTACTATACCATCGTCGGTGGTAACGAGCACAAAAAGTTCCAAATAGACACGAAGACCGGCGTCATTTCCATTACCGAGCAATTGGACTACGAGAGGGCCAAGGATTACTTTTTGACCATCCAAGCCATCGACGGCGGAGTTCCACCACTTACCAATCACGCCACGGCCAATATTACGGTCTTGGACAGCAACGACAATCCGCCTGTATTCAGTCAAACGTCCTACCGGGCCTCGATACGCGAGGATGCCAAGAAGGGTGAAAAGATTTTACAGGTGAGTACATTAATAGCACAACTTTACGAGCGTCAATGATATTCAATTGAAAAGCGATGTCGGCTTAATTTACAATCGAGAGTTTATTTGTGAAAATACATATTGAATTGAAAATCGATGAAATATTTTTTTTGTTTTCGCTTCGCGTCTACGCTGAAACGTATAGAGGCGCGCTCGACTAGATCAAACATTTAAAAGCTTTAAAAGTAATATTATCTAAATTGACAATTATTGCACCGGGAATAACGACACTAACACCTACCTCGTACCACCACCCCCCTCCCCCTTCCCCAATCCCGCTTCTCTCACTCTGTTTTCAACAGGTATTTGCAAACGATGTGGACAGCAACGAGAACGGTCTAGTCAATTATTCGATCGAGCGGGGCGACCGTCAAAAGCAATTCGCCATTAATGCGGAAAGCGGCGAGATCTCGGTGCTGGCGCCTCTCGACCGCGAACTGATTGCCAATTACGTCTTGGAAGTGCACGCCCGTGACGGCGGCGTGCCAACAATGTCCAACTATGTAATAGTGAACGTCGAAATCCTCGACGCCAACGACAATCCGCCGATGTTCTCCCAGACCAATTACACGAGCGTCGCGCAAGAGGACAAGTCCCCGGGCTACGCCGTTTTAAAGCTTATCGTGAGTGACGCGGACGCGGAGCCCAACGCCGCTCCTTACACCTTCGACTTCCGCTCGGGCAACGAGGGCGACGCCTTCCGGCTCGAGCAGGACGGCACGCTCCGCACTGCCATGAAATTCAGCAATCGGGTGAAGGACAAATATCTGCTGCACGTTCGCGTCTTCGACAATGGCAGCCCACCCCTATACTCCGACGCCTGGGTCCTCGTTAAAATAATCGAGGAGTCGCAATATCCACCCGTCATCACCCTCCTCGAAATAAACATCAACTCGTACATGGACGAGTTTCCGGGCGGTATAATCGGCAAGGTACACGCCTCGGACAAGGACCAGTACGACACCCTGCATTACAGCTTGGTACCGACGTCGCCGTTACGGCCCAATACCGATCTCTTTCAAATCGACAAGCTCGACGGCACGCTCGTCGCTCTGCCGAGGCTCGACATTGGCGAGTACCGCGTGAACGTCAGCGTGACCGACGGCAAGTTCAATTCGTTCTCGATCGTCAAGGTGACCGTGGACCTCGTGAGCGACGAGATGCTGGAGAACTCGGTGATCGTGCGCTTTCGTGAGGTGAGCCCCGAGGACTTTGTGCTCAAGCACCGCAAGGGCTTCGTGCGCACGGTGCGCAACGCTATGAACTGCCGGCTCAAGGACGTCGTAATACTGAGCGTCCAGTCGTCCACCGACGCCGAGATCAACGCGATAAAGCCCCGAGCCGCGAGGCTCGCGGTTGTGCACAACGACCTCGACGTACTCTTCGCCGTGAAGAAGTCGAACCCGAGCGACCTGTACACCTCCGAGAGCATACGCGAAGCCCTCAATCAGCGCGTCGAGGAGCTCGAGGCATCGACGAAACTGGTCGTCGAGGAAATCGTCCGTTTTAAGTGCAGCAAGGGCTACTGCGTCTACGGCGACTGTCACGACAAGATCGTCCTCGACACCCAGCTGATCAGCCCCATAGCCACGGATGTCGTCAGCTACGTCTCGCCGAGGCACCGTCACCGCACGGAGTGCACCTGTAAGGAGGGCTACGCCGGAACTCATTGCGAGGTCTTCGTCAACGAATGCGCTCGAGGACCATGTCCCCCCTTCAAGGTAACTTGAACAGATAAACCAGAACAGGTAGCACAACAGATAAATGCGCGTTGAAAATTCGAATAACTCTACGTCATATGCAATCCTTCATTTAACGTCAATTCGTATTTTGTGTTGCTCTTTGCCGATAAATCTTCACCACCTCTCTCCCCTCCCTCTCCGACCAATAATCTGTGCGATTTAGTGACGATAAATTTTGACGATGCTCGCAGGTGTGCGTGCCCGACTCGTCGGTCCAAGGCTACTCGTGCCAATGTCCCGAGGGCTTTGCTGGTCAGACCTGCGACATCGACATTTCCAAGTGCCACGACGAGTCCTGCTACATACCCCGAAATCCGATATCCTTCGGTGGTAAAAGCTACGCCCGTTACAAGATCGACAAGATGCTCGTACGACAAACGATCGAGAATCGATTGAGCCTCACGCTGAGAGTCCGAAGCGTACAGCCGACCGGCTGCCTCATGTACGCCTCCGGCAAGATCGACTACAACGTCCTCGAGATGGTGAACGGCGCGGTGCAGTATCGCTTCGACCTGGGCAGCGGCGAGGGCCTCGTGCGCGTCAACAGTTTCTACGTGAGCGACGGCCAGTGGCACGAGATACAGCTCGAGCGCGATGGCAACAGCGCGACCTTGACCGTCGACGGCAAACACCTGGCTCACGGCTCCGCGCCGGGCGCCAACGACATTCTCAATCTCCAATCGGACGAGCTCTATCTCGGCGCCGAAGTACGCCAGCACCCGACGATCCTCGGCTTCGAGGACGTGCAGCGAGGTTTCGTCGGCTGCATGGACGACGTGCGGATCGCTAAGCTCTCGGTGCCACTGCACATGAGCGGCTCCACGAACAGCGTCGTCGTACTGAAACGCTTCGCGAACGTGGAGTTTAGCTGCGAGGCGAGCACGGTCCTTGTGCCCCCCGGTGTTTGCGGCTCCCAGCCGTGCCAGAATGGCGGTACCTGCTCCGAGAGCAAATCCGAGGACGGTGGATACGAGTGCCGCTGTCACGGGCGATTCCGGGGCGCCAGCTGCGAGATCGACACCGATCCCTGCGCCTCCTCGCCCTGCCTCTACGGCGGCAGGTGCAGGCCCCTCCTCGAGCTCGGGGACTTTGCTTGCGAATGCCTCGGTCCCAGCCTCACAGGCAAGCGCTGCGAGTTCGGCAGGTACGTTACACCGCGTATACGACAACCCCTCACCTCCCTCGGGCCAGCCTCGCCCGATACACTTCATTTCATCCCCGTACGACCGTTTCAGATTCTGCAGCCCGAATCCGTGTCTGCACGGCGGCGAGTGCGAGGAGGGCAACAGCGGGCCCATATGCAAGTGCCAGGGCTTCGCGGGCGAGCGCTGCGAACTCGACGTCAACGAATGCGAGAGGAATCCTTGCACGAACGGCGGCACCTGCCTGAACGAGCTCGGCTCTTACCGCTGCATCTGCCCGCCCTCGATGACGGGCCTCAACTGCGGCAATCCCGCTGGCTATACGACCGGCCTCATCTCCAATCACCTCAACATCACTTGGGAGCAGCTCATGTGGATCGGCGTGGCGATCCTCGCCAACATCCTCCTCGTCGCGCTGTTCGTCACGTTCCGCAAGATCCGCGGCAAGAGGACGCGAACGCGAGCCAACAACATCAACAACGAGACGCGCAAGCAAATGGTCCTGAACTCGGCGCGGCCTAACGATCACGAGTTCAAGCGCAGCTCCAAGCTCAGCAACCTCGAGGTCGTCCAAGTAAGACTCTTACCACTCGGTCCCTCCCATCTCGCCCGTTCGCTCGTTCGCTTCGTTTTTGCGCTCCGTTTCACGACCGCGCCACACGCCACACGCCACACGCCACACGCCACACGCCACACGCCACGTGCGCGCGCACACTCACATCCGCACGCACACGCACACGTACACGTTCAATTTTTGTTGCAGAGAGAATGTCCTCCCCAATGTCCCCCCCGTCCCGCCTCTTACACCCCGTCGTCGAACAACGAGCAAGTGCTGCTCGGCTGCAGCAGCGCGGCTGTCGCCCTCAACAACCTCGACACCCTGCGCAGCTACGGGAGCGCCGGCGACGAGCTCGAGAACTTTCCCCCGGATTACCTGCGAAACCTCAACCGCAGCACGGCCGCCGGCTGCCAACTGCCGAGCGTCAACGCGAGCAACGCCCTTCAGGCCGCGGACCTCGGACCCCTCGAGAAACCCAGTTGGCAGGAGCAGATGCAGCTCGCCTCCTTCATCAACGACGCCACCAAGATCAAGAACGGTAAGCTGTCCCCGTCTCTCTCTCTCTCTCTCTCTCTCTCTCTCTCTCTCTCTCTCTCTCTCTCTCTCTCTCTCTCTCTCTCTCTCTCTCTCTCTCTCTCTCTCTCTCTCTCTCTCTCTCTCTCTCTCTCTCTCTCTCTCTCTCTCTCTCTCTCTCTCTCTCTCTCTCTCTCTCTCTCTCTCTCTCTCTCTCTCTCTCTCTCTCTCTCTCTCTCTCTCTCTCTCTCTCTCTCTCTCTCTCTCTCTCTCTCTCTCTCTCTCTCTCTCTCTCTCTCTCTCTCTCTCTCTCTCTCTCTCTCTCTCTCTCTCTCTCTCTCTCTCTCTCTATCTATCTATCTATCTATCTATCTATCTATCTCTCTATCTCTCTCTCTCTCTCTTGCTCCTACCTCCCTATTCGCCCCCACCACACCGGCTCTTTCTCTCGTCCGCTTTCTGCGCCTTTTTTTTTCGCCCTGCGCTCTCGACTGCACCTTATTCTTTATTCTCGGTAGTCGTCAAAGCTCGGACAAAACGCCTTCCCCCCTGCCAAGTTTGTTTGTTTCGTTAACCTTTCAGCTGATACCCAGCCGAAGCATACCGTTGTATCAATTTACTTAATTTAACGCATCTTACCCTCTTACCTCCATAAGAAAGAAAAACAAAGCCAGACCCTCAGATCGTGCGCACCTGAAATTTAACATGCACATCCTAAAATACCTCTCAAATAATAAAGGATAATTCCTTTATTAATACACGAATCGCCTCGCTAAAGTCAAATGATCCTTTTATTGGCCCCTGTAGTTCTTAAGCACCAAGATTAATGGTAGACGAAGTATGAGATTTTTTTTATTAACGATTCCTTTCTGATTCATTTTTTCTTTGGTTTTTTTTTTTGTTTTTTTGTTTTTTTGTTTTTTTGTTATTGCTTTGTTTACTAACCGATTGACTAACGTAAATAGACCTGAAACGAGCGAGTCCGGTGGTACCAGAGCCGACCACCGGAGGACTTCTACTAAACTCAATACGGCGAGTAACAACGCACGGAGGTGGCACCTCCATAGCTTCGCTTTCGTCGATCGAAGATGACCCTCGAATTGTCGGTGGTAAGTACTTTGTTTCGGCATGTTATTACTTAAAAAGAAAGAGACAAAAACGCTCGGGAAAGCCGTAATGAGAGATAGACGAGAGGGAGTAATAATCGTTAATACGAGTCAAGCCATTTACCTCGCACTCCTTTCTCGAATCTCTTAGCAATTGCTTTTTGCTTGATTGGACATTACTCATCCATGCGATTGCAGATGCCTAATTTCTATCAAAGTATGCGTAGCGATCTCGAATTTCCCTCGTTAATAAAAACTTTTTCATCGACATTGATTTCACACACACACAGTGCGCTTATAATAAATGGACGGAATGTGAAAAATAATAAATAAATGACAGTCATCGAAGGCACACACAGGAGCACAATGTTGATTCGATTATAAAAACTAGTTAACAAATGCGATTCTTTAAGAATGCATCCGCGATACATTCAATTAAGTATAATTTGTTCTATTTTTCTACGTATGCGCATCTATCCGATGTATTTGATTTTCTCATTTCAAAGTAAAAGAAACAAAGAGAAACAGACATTTATATATATTAATGGACATAGTCGTTTGAGTGCCAGATGGTGAATTATCTTCTCAACTATGGATTTTTCAATATTAAACAGATTGACGACAATAGTCAGATTTGTTATTCCATCGACAACATTGAGTTGGCATATTGAAAGTATCGAGACACGGGAGATAAATTATTCTGCGATAATATGTATTTCAGTACATTCGTTGTCTGCAACGATTTCAGGTTACCACTGGGACTGTTCAGATTGGGTCCGACCAAGTCAGAATCCCTTGCCGAACATCACCGAAGTACCGGGAAGCGAGGTACCGGATTCCTCGAGTTTTCACAGCAACGAAAGTAACGAATCGAATACTCATCAAGTGCCTGTGCGTAAGTACAATTCACATTCCTATCAAATAATAATTCGCTCGCCCCACCCCATTCTCGTTCTCGTGGGTGAGCGTTCGTCATTAAGGACACTCAATGTCATTTAAGCCAGCGCGATTTTAAAGAATCAGAAGAAGGAGGAGACGAAGGAAATTAAGCGAAGAACATTTAAGGAATATTTCACGGCCACTCTTACAAGCGCCTCTTTTATGAATTTTAGTGCACGGCGCAATGGAAGCGACGCGAGACATCGAGACTCTGAGCGAAGACCAGGAGTCCGAGTACGTCGGTGACTCGGAGTGCGGCACCGATCTCTCCGAGCACTACCACACGCAGAAGCACGATTTCTCCGAGGGTCAGCGGCTTAACGCCCTAGACAGCGGAGGCGAAGCCGAGTACAAGTACAAGAGCTCCGAGAGCTACCTGAGGCACCCGAATTCGTACCTACCCCATTACAACATCCACACGGACACGGACAACGAAATAATGGCGACGATACCTCTGAACGGCGGTTGCCTTGGTACTCTCGTATCCGACGAGGAGGAAGAGGAGGAGGACGATGACGAGGAGGAGGAGGAGGCTGTCGAGGACGAGGATGAGGAGGATCAGGATAATGTAGTGCCTTATGGTTTTCCGAGCGCGCGGCGCAACCGCTGCCCCCGCAAACGGGTCGAGGACGGCTTCGAGGAGAGGAACTCGCTCCTCGGCGGCGCTAATAGCAATAGCGATCTTTCAACGAACCTCTGCGAGATCGACGACTCCGAGTTCGAGATCGCCCAGCAAAAGAGCAACGGCCGAGCCTGGCTCGCTGGCGGCGGCGGCGGTGGTGGCGGTGGCGGTGGTGGCGGCGGTGGCGGTGGCGGTGTCACCCAGACATCCGTCTGACCGAGCGTACGCGTCCACCTAATGTACACTACTTTCTGTCTTTAAGCGAGGCGGCCGAAGCATTGTAAATAATAGGGAAAACTCACTGCTGCGCCAGGTTAATCGTAAATTGTTTATCGCTCGCTCGAGCATTGTACAGGCAGTTTTTTTTTTCTTTTTTTTTTCTTCTTTTTTTTTTTTTTTTTTTTTTTTTTTTTTTTAAAGCCCATTAAGGACCTAACTGTACTCAACTAGACTTAAGGACCGCGACCCTTCGACTTCCTCTTCGTCTTCGCCTCGGCTTCCTTCGTTCTCTTCATTGTCTTTGGTACTTAAAATGGAGCGCATCGTGTCAAGTCTTGGATAAAAGAATAATGCGACAAAAATTCGGGCGATTTTCTTGAGACTTGGCCCTTCTTGACTTTAATCGATCGCCACGCCCGATTTCCATTACCAATGGGCTTCGATCGCAAAAATAGACCAATGACTATTATTTAGCATTTCTTTTCACATTTGCGACTGGCAAAAAAGAGCTTTCGTTTTATTTTATTAAATTATCACAATATCATTGTTGTGCGACTGAATGTGTATATTTTTCGTAAAATAAAATATTATTTATGCAATTAATTCGAAAATCGTGCAAGGGAAAAGTAATATTCAAGACTTACTACTAGTTGGAGTTTCATTATTATGAAATCTTTCACAATTGAACCTAATATTTTCAGGTTCTTAAGCGATTGATTAGGATTAATGATTAAGGACACTTGCACCGATGAATTTAATAAGAGTGTATTATGTAAAGGCGTGATTAATCATGCTGGCGGATCAAGCAAATTGTATCTAATTTGCAAATGTAAGTAAAATGCAGGCATTAGATTCCTAGATTAATAATATAATAGAATTAGAAGAGAAATATAAATTATTTTTACTGTGATGATAATAATGTTTATACGTCAATGATTAAAAGATTAAAGCTATTATTGTACAATAATGACGATATATGGTGATTAATCGATTGAATAATTAGTCGGATTTTATCCCAAGAATTCGAGCACTATTCAAGCCGTTATCAAGTGCGATTTAACAAAGTCGACCATCCGGCAATTACTTGAGATTTCAATTATTAATTTTAATTTCAATATTAGTTCCATTGTTTATCGAACGATTAACAAATATTGTAGTACGATTACGAATACGAATACGAACACGAATACGAATACGAACACGAATACGAATACGAATACGAATACGAATACGAATACGAATACGAATACCGAATAAATAAGAATATGAATATGAATACGAATAGAAATATTCATCCACTCACTGCCTTATACGGATTATTTAGAGCTACGCCAATGTATTGAAAATTGTATTACAGAGTTTACTCTACGAGATAAGATTTCACGGTTCGCTCATCCTTTATCTCTTCGCAAGACTGGCTACATTATAAAACTAAGAACAAATTCCTATTGACGCACTTGATAACATTTTTATTTTTCTGCTCACTGAACATTTATTTTTTAAAATACTAATTTTTTATTATGCATATATTGTAGGAGCGCGAGAATATTCGCCACGCATTCACAAACATCCATATACACAATGTACATCTTTATTACTGTATATTCACGTCGCGGTTTATGCCATAGAAGTAATTTTAAGAGTTATTTTCTTCTTAGTAACAGAGATATAATCAATCATTCCGTCTTAGAGAAGTATTGCAATCCACAGACGTACCGATTGCCTTCTATTTAATTTCAAAATCAATAATTATCGTCAAAGGCAGCTTAAATTGAATTATACGTTAAATATTATAAACAAACATGATTTTATTGTATACATATTGTGAATGAACGTGTATGATTTGTGTAGTATTCATAAAACGAATTGAGCATTTTTTTTTTTTATGTTCCTGCGTTTTTTATTGTAATATTATACATATATGAATGATGCTCATTTCTGATCGTGAACGCTTAAAGAAAAATGCGCAAAACAGGGTGATTTATGTAATATTTGCGCTGTTAAGCGAAGAAAATGAATTATGTATATGAATTGAATGTACATGAACGAAAGCACATGTAATATAAAGGAAAAACAAAAAAAAAAAAAAAAAGGAAAAAAAAACAATTGTCAAAATAACTTAACGAAAGCTGTTCATTTATAAATCTCCTTTTTCAACAATAATAATCAACAAACAATCATAAATCGGAATAATTTAACCATATAATTTTATTGTTACTTTAAATAAACAATTTATTGACACAATTTTACAATAAAGTTTAAATTTATCAACAAAAGTAGCAGTAAATTCATGTTTTTAGATTTTTTTTAACTAAATTTAATTAAAAAATAAATTATTGGAATACAGTTATGCGAGAATTTAAACATAATGAAAGGAATGTAATAACGGAAGTGTTTGTTAAAATTTAAATATTCTTGATAAACTATGAATCAGGATATCAGTTTATATACCAAAATAACGATATTGGTATTTCAGAACATTAATTAAACATTTTAAATCATTATTTACTTATATTAATAATCTATCATTAAGAAATTGAAGATCTAAGATATGCAAATACCAAACAAATTCATTTAACAATGATTCAACAATGATATCATTTTATAAATATGATGAATATTTATTTGAATTATTTATTTGTTTAATAAACATTGTAGACTATAGTCGATATTGAGGAACTTAATAATATACTTTCAATATTCTACTTCAAATACTTAAAATTTAAGTTTTTTACGATAAATTGAATGTAATAAAAATCCATATTCGTTTCTTATCTTTATTTCATACGTAAATAATAATAATAATAATAATAATATATTATTTTAATTGATAATTAAATGATGGTCATAAAAATTATATAAAATTTGGACGATATTACAAGTATCGAATATTGAAAAATATAATCACACATTACAGTACGATGATACCATTAATTGTTTCGTGTATTTAAACTTATATTTTGGTATAATAATAATACTTATTCATCTATTCATGGAAGAATTAATTCAAAATAATAAGATTTTAGCCTTTAAGAATGAGAAAGTCGAAAATAAAGATCTTCAAATAATGAAATTCAATTACAAAAAAACTTTGAAATTTATAGAAAATTTTCAGTATATGCAGTAATTGCAGAACCAACTGCATTTCTTCGCACAGTTAATTATTGAGATATTGTAGTTCTATTAATAATTTAAAATAATTTTAATGACTAGGAATTAGAGTATTTTTTTTAATTAAGCAATTTTTATAAATTATACATATTATTATTAAAATATTAGTCTTACAAGTTATTCGTATAAAAGTCAACTAATTGCCAATTTTCATTGAATTGTACATAGTTATTATTTTAATTATTTATAATAATCCTTAATTATTATTATAAGTAAAATAGGACTCTGAATGTAATCCATGAATGAAGAAGGGGTGAATATTTAGATTTTTTAAGTTCTCATCATTTACTATTATAGGCGACAAAACATCATTCCATTTCAAAATTTAAAATAATTTAAAAGTTGATACGAGAAGTTGTGAGTGATTAATTAATAGTTGGTAAAAGAAAATTTTAACATAACGGTTTCCTAACGATCTAATTAATGAAACGAGTTTTTTTTTTATGCACTTTTTATGACAAAGGCATTATTAACATTCATGACTTTGCTAAGTATAAATAAGTATGACAATGAACAAAGTTATGAGAGAAGATTTTAATAATTATACGGCAAAGTAGGAACATATCGTCAACAAAGTTATTTCAATTTAATAGCTTAAATTGTTATAAATTTAAGACTACGTTAAATAAATTTGTATAAGATTAAATTGTTGTAATAAAATAAAATAATATTTGCTTAAATTACTTTTACAATTTTATTCTGTATACAAAAAATAATAATAGTTGTGCAGTACGTGAAAATATTTACAAAATATATGATTAATCAATACATGTCGCTTAACGTCAAATATTTACTTTGTTTTTTTTTCTAAAATCAGAGTTATAAGTTGATTCATTGTTATCAACGAACTGCAAGTATCCTCTATTAAACCAGCAGTAACCATTGCATTCATAAACAGCTGAAATATATAAATAATGAAATGTAAAAATTATGTATTTGTAAATTTGTATTTATATGAATTGTCTAATAGGGATTGTACCTGCTGCGTCAAAAGACTAGCAATTTCTTCATCGGAGGACTTTAATTTTATAAGATGTTTTATTAACGGATGATTGGGATTGATTTCTAAACGTGGCTGAAGCAGACTATATCGCAAATTATCATCGAATTGGTGACTTTGGGTGCGAATAAAATGTCTTGCCGATGCCATATCTTGGACTGTCACGACGCAAGGATGAAATTCAAGTCGATTGGTTGTTTTAATTTCATGAGCTTTATTTTTTAAAATTGTTTTCATGTAACTAATAACGTCATTGATTTCTTGTTCATTAAACAGTACTGTCGACAAATACAATTAATTACTGTAGAAAAATTGCCCTCGCAATAGTACGTAATGTCGATAATAGTATATTTACCTGATGTATCCTTTTCTTTGGTATCTGCGGTCTGGTGCATATCTTTTTCAACGGATATAATGTCAAATGCTTTAAACCTTTTTAAATTCATTAAAACAAGCTCATCGTAGGGATCGAGGCAGAATAATACTTCTAAATTAGAATTTTTGAATGACTCGAAGTACGGTGATTGTTCAGCTAAGATTCGGCTAAAGATTATAAATCATAACAATATTAGCAATGTGAGAAAGTCGCATTATTATTATTATTATTATTATTATTATTATTATTATTATTATTATTATTGATAAAACTTATACCTTGGGGCTGCCAGATAATAAATATATTTTTGATCTTTTGCGAACCTTTCACAATATTCTGGCAGACTAGTTATTTCTCCAGCTTTCTTAATGGAAGACTCAAATCGTAAAAGTTTACTTATTTCTTCCTGAAATGAAATACATAAAATTCCAATATGATTTCAAATTGGAATACAATTCAGACAAATATAAATGCCTCCCCTCACCTTTCCAGTATCATCGGGAGTCGTTATAATTCCTTCTTTAAAGAAGGCATTGTAGTGATTATAAAATTTTAAAAACTCTTCGGGTTGCTTTTTGGCTTGGTCTTGTAAAAATCGTATGATTCGCGTAGTTAAAACATTTCTCAACTTTCTAAATAAGAGTAAAATAAACATTAGACAACGAAACGAATAAACTTTAGAATTTAAACATGTTCCACTGACGTAATTAGTGCACTGTTTTGCAGCAATTCTCTACTCAAGTTTAATGGAATGTCTTCGGAATCAACAACGCCTTTAATGAATCTAAGAAATTTCGGTAAAATATTTTCAGCTTTATTCTGAATTAAGACTTTTCGACTATATAGTGCTACTCCTGGAGTACCGTCTCTAGTCGCTTCGAATAGTCCTGGTTTTCCTTCTGGAAAATATAGTAAAGCTCTTATACTTACGGGAGCATCGGTCGTATAGTGCAATGTGAATCTTTGCTCGTCATAACAATTTCCAATGAAGCGATAAAATTGAAGATGCTGTTCAGGAGTAACATCCTTTGGGTCGAGCATCCATATCGCCTGCAACGTGGCGGCATATATATTACCAAAAATTGCATAGACAAAAATTTCATAATTATAAAAGCTGACTAAACCATACCTCAATGGTATTTGCGCGTTTTCCATTTAAGAATATTGGGCTTCCAACGAAATTACTATACTTTTGAATAATACCTGAAGAATACAATTATTTTGAATATTAGTAATGTGAAATTAGAAAAGAAATGCAACAGTGATTTACCATTTACATTAGCATCGTCGCTGAATTCTCGACAATCATTACGTAAGTGTAGTACAATTTTCGTGCCCGGTTGTACACCTTCTGCGTTTGCAATTTCATAAGAGCCAGAACTATATAATATATAAATACATTGATCGAAAAGAGTATTTATTATAACTATAAATAGAATCATGATTATTAATATTTAGAAAACTAACCCATCGGAAACCCAATAGAGACCCTCAGAATTATTTTTATACGATTTTGTAAAAACTTCTACTTTATCAGCAACCATAAAAGCACTATAAAATCCAACTCCAAACTGTCCAATAATTTTAGATGCGTCGCTTGGATTTTGTTTTTTCTCCAATTGCTCTAAGAATGTCTAGATAAATTATAATACTTAACAAAGGGTATAATTTATATTACTTAAGGTAGGAAAAATTTTAAATCATACTTTCGAACCAGAGCGAGCGATTGTTCCTAAATTTGATATCAAGTCATCTTTCGTTAAGCCAATTCCTGTATCTTGAATTATTAATAAACGATCTTGTTTATTCGTAGCAATATGAATTTCTAAATTACGATCTCCACCCTCATCCATAGATAAATTTTCAGATAATCTTAAGTAACGTAATTTTTCCAAAGCGTCGCTAGCATTGGATATTAATTCTCTTATAAAAACCTATAAAAACAATGAAACAATTGGTAATAAAACATTGAGCATGTAGATATATATATTACCTCTTTATCGGAATATAGAGACTTGGCAACAATATTTAAAAGCATCCGAGTTTCCGACTGAAATTCATGTTTTACAGTTTCACCTAATAATTAACAATTAAAATGTTGAAATTTAGAAGGTATAAATATCTCATTGTTCCCATTCCATTTGCACAATATCATTAATGACATAGTAATTAATTTAATCGACATACGCATAAAGTACCTGTTGCTTTTTCCGTATTCTTTATTATGCCATGATCATCCGTATCTACAGGCTTCGCTGATGTAGCTTCTAACGACAATAATCTTCTTTGGCTGTATAATGCTACATTAAGAACAAAAAAAATTAGGTTCTATTTTGTTTTTACAATAATAATAAGGTCCTTGGTAAACTAATTAATAAGGCTATAGAGAAAATGCAAATTGCAACTAAATTGCTTCAAATTTACAACATTTATTATAACTATTTGCATATAATACTTGATACATCAATCGAACATTATAATGTAAAAATATAACCCACATAACCTTTCGAAATTAGTCTTACTTGTTTCATTACCAAAAAAAAATGCATTTACATACTTGAGAAATTCTTTCGACATAGTGCATAACAATTATTGTCTTTGTAAATTTTCGCTCTTGCGAGAGAAAGCGATCTTTTCCCCAATCTTAAGGTATACGGCAATCTAAGGGAAGCCGACATTTCCAAAAGTCTTACGAACACGTGATTAAAACACCAACTAAACGACCGACTATCAGTATCTTCTATCGAGCTACTGTAGTCGAGGCAGAGTAGTGTGTTCGTCAGTGTTGGTTTGTGTTCGTCAGTGTTGGTTAGTGTTCGTTATTACCGCTTACCAGTTACACGAGGAGAAAGACGAAGGGTCCTCGAGCGGCTCCTGATTTGTCCAGTGTTTGATTTAGTTTGGAGATAATTAGTTAAATTTTGTAGAAGAAGGCTCGTTTATGGGAATTAGCTTCTACACGAACATTTATTAATGTAACCAATTGACATATTGAGTGAGCATTGAATTGGGCTGATTTCGGTATTTGGCGACTTGATATAATAATGGAATCGCAATACAAGTATGAAAATTCAAATCAATTTTACATTCAAGCATTTACGTGTACCGTTAACTAGTACTAGTTTTTCATTGTTTTTGCTCTTTTTAGAACGATTCATCCAGCCAAGTACCTCAGAGATCATTTTGTATGTATTGTTTAAGAGTGAAAAGAGAACATGGAATGATAAAGATTCGTTTATTGAATGATCGGTTTGGTTTTAGGCTTCGAATATAAGGCCCGATGGCAGAGAATTTATGTCATTCCGTCCAGTAAGCGTATGCGTAGGATCGATTACGAAAGCCGATGGTTCGGCCCTAGTTAAAATTGGAAATACAACGGTTGTTTGTGGTATCAAGGCAGTTAAGTATTTTGCAATTAATAGCAAAGTATGTTATAGACAGAGAAGAAAGTATAGAGTAATGATAGTCGGATGTATTTATTTTAGGAATTAGCGTGTCCAAAGGCTGAAAGTCCAGATTGCGGCTTTATTGTTCCAAATGTGGAATTGGCACCGTTATCGTCGCCAAAATTTCGACCCGGTCCTCCCAGTGAAGAATCGCAGTGCATAAGCAAGCTTATTGAAAAAATATTAATAAATTCAGAGGCCATAGACTTGAAAAGTCTTTGTATACATAAAGATAAGCTTGCTTGGGTTTTATATTGCGACATTATTTCTTTGGATTACGATGGTTCGGTAATAGATGCGTGTACTACATCCTTGATGGCAGCATTAAAAATACGTAAGTATAGGAAACCTATTGAAAAGTTATTTGTTTCGTTCCTTTTAACCTAAACTTTGTTCTATTATTGCAGTAACATTACCGACTGTAGACTATACTCCAGAGACCGGGTCTATAAAGATCGATAAAAAAAATAGAATTCACATTCCATTAAAACAATTAGCTATTTGTACCACCTTTGCTATTTTCGATAAGTGAGTATTATTCTTTATGTATGCATATATATAGATAAATGAATGAAAGGCCATAAGAAATATTTATTTAAATTTAGCCAACTACTTATTACTGATCCAACAGAGGATGAAGAAAAACACTCTTTAAGTACGATAAACATAGTGTTTAACGAAGATGATATGTGTTTTGTTCACAAATCAGGTGGAATCCCAGTCTCTCAGAACTTATTTTCGACGTGTATAATAAAAGCGAAAAATCATGGAAATCAAGTAAGGAAACTTATATTAGCAGCAGTTAACTGTAAAACGTAACGCAATTCACTAGTCAATTTAATAACTTCATATATTTGTAAATAAAAATTTATTATCATTGGTCACATGCTTATAAATATAGTTTCTATTTAAAAAATCTCCAAAACATTATAAAATACGCTGAATAAACAATATTTTTCGACTATATACATTTTATACTAGTATAAACAAGTTTTTTTCATTATTCTAAGAAATTCTTCCTGAGAAACCTCACCGTCACCATCTTTATCTGCTTCGTCGATCATCTCTTGTAATTCTTCATCGGTTAAATTTTCTCCCAACTCTTTAGCCACGCGTTTCAAATTTTTAAATGAAATTTTTCCAGTATGATCGTCATCGAATAAACGAAAGGCCTTTAAAACTTCATCTTTAGAATCTTTTTCTGCCATTTTACTCGACATAAGATCTAGAAATTCTTCGAATGATATTTTTCCAAGACCATCGGGATCAACATTGGCTGTTAATTTTCTTATTTCTTCTCTCGTTGGCTCAATACCAAGTGCTCTAATTGCAACTTTCAATTCTCTCGAGGCAATCTTGCCAGTTCCATCCGGATCAAAAAGATCAAATGCTTCTTTAATGTCTGCTTTTTGTTCATCGCTGAGTTCAAATTTTGTAAAAGGTTTCTTTTTTATAGATACTGAGCCTGTTAATTTCTTTGTTGACTAAAATAAAAAAAATATTCGTTAAGTATTATACGTAATAAGTAATGTCAATGTAATTATCGCAAAATTGTAGATTATATCAATTAAAAATTATTATTATAAATCCAAACTTGCCATTTTCTAGGTACTACAATAAAAAACTTGTAAGAATGGTTTAAACAGTATATTGCTTGTTGTTGAATATTAAAATTGGTTGCTATGATGTAGCCGGTGTTTTATCGATAAATATCAATATAAATCTGAATTTACGTAGTCAACGGAAAGTAATCCCCGTATGTTTACAATATGCGTTCATGCATATCCTATATATATATATATATATATATATATATATATATATATATATATATATATATATATATATACA